AAAAAGAAAAAAAAACTACTAAACAAAAAAAAATATTAATTTAAAATAAAGAAAGGAAAAACAACCTACATAAAGAGAAAAAATAATGAAGAAAAAGAAAAAAAATAGAAAGAAAGGAAAAAAAACCTATATGAAGAGAAAAAAATAATGAAGAAAAAGAAAAAAAATATGAATTAATTGGGTTAATCCTTCAAATCAGGTTAACCTGTCAAACATGGGATTTATGTCATAAAAGTTTAATAACTCAATAAAAAAAATTTAATATTAACAAACTAAATTTAAAAAAAAAATAAAAAGGGAAAAAAAGAAGAAAAAACCTATATGAAGAAAAAAACTAATGATGAAAAAGAAAAAAAATCTGAAACAAAGAAAAAGAAACCTACATAAAGAAAAAAATCATAATGAAGAAAAACAAAAAAGAAGCAAAGAAAAAGAAACCTACATAAACAAAAAAATCATAATGAAGAAAAACAAAAAAAAAGTCTGAATTAACTAGATTAACCAGTCAAATCTGAGATTCATGTCATGAAAGTTTAATAACAAAATAGGAAAAAAAAAACTTTACAGGTTAACCTAGAATTAGCTGAGTTAACTCGTCAAATTTAGGATCTATGTAGTGAAAGTTTGATAACTAAATAGAAAAAAAAATTAACACTAACAAACTAAATTAATCAAAAAAACTAACTAAAAAGAAAAACCATAAAAAAATCTGGTTAGCCCGTCAAACCCTAAATCCATGTCATAAAAGTTGGATAATTAAATAAAAAAATAAGAAATAACAAACTAAATTAAATGAAAAAATTAATTAAAAAACCAGAAAAACAAATCCGGATTAACTCATCAAACCTAGAATCTGTGACATGAAAGTTTAATAACTAAATAGAAAAAAAAACATTAACAAATTAAATTAAACAAAAAAAGTATTCATTAAAAAAAAAAGCAAAGAAAATGGCAATAACAAACTAAATTAGACAAAACAATTAATTAAAAAGAAAAACCAGAAAAAAAAAACAAAATCTGAGTTAACTCACCAAAACTGGAATCTGTATCATGAAAATTTAATAACTAAATAGAAAAAAAATTTAACATTAACAAACAAAGTTAAACAAAAAAATATTTATTAAAAAATACAAAAACAAGGGCTTAGCGTTTTTACTATGGGTTAATTACAATATTAAAAGATGAAATCGGAAGAAGAAAAAACTAATAAAGAAAAAGAAAAAAAATCTGAATCAACTAGGTTATTCCATCAAATCAAGTTAACCTGCCAAACTTGATATTCATGTTATGAGAGTGTGATAACTAAATAGAAAAAAAAATAATATTAATGAACTAAATTAAAAAATAATAATTAAAAAGGAAAAAACCTCTACAGGAAGAAAAAAAATCTGAATTAACTAGGTTTACCCGTCAAACTTAGAATTCATATTATGAAAGTTTGATAACTAAATAGAAAAAAATTAATATTAACAAACTAAATTTAAAAAAAAATAATTGAAAAGCAAAAAAGGAAAAGGCAAAAAAAAATACTAATCAAAAAAGGATTAATTGAAAAGAAAGAAACAAAGAAAAAGAAACGTACATGAAGAAAAAAACTAATGAAAAAAAAATCTAAATTAACTTGGTTAACCATTCAAACTAGGTTAACCCGTCAAACCTGAAATACATGTTATAATAGTTTGATAACTCATCAAGAAAGAAAAATTTTACGGGTTAACCTAGAATTAGCTAAACTATGAAAAGAAGATAAATGTTGAATAATGTCAAGTTTAAAATTAAAATGAGATGTATCAGGGGAGAAAACTATGCATGATGGTGCACTAATTCTTGTGAGATTCATGTGGTTTGTAAATGTTCTAATACAGTCATTCTTATTATTCTCATTATAAAGTGATTAATTATCTTCTTCGGTCATATTTTCTGAAAATGATGAGGATACCCTACAAAG